TCCCCTCCCCATTTTGGGGGTTTCTCCTCCATTTTTAGGCTCCTCCTCCCGTTTTTAGACTCCTCCTCCCATTTTCAAGCCCCTCCCCTTTTCCACCTCCTCCCCCCGTTTCCGGGCCCCTCCCCCCCGTTTTTGGGGCGATTTCCCGGGTTTTCGGGGCCCCCCCGGGCCCACCTTGCTGTCGTAGAACTTCTCCCTCTTGTCGGTGAGGACGGAGCGCACGACGATCCCGGAATACTCGATCACCATCTCGCCGGCCTCGATGTTCCGCTTGCAGAACAGGCCCCGCCCGTGGATGGCCGACCTGGGGGGGGGCAGGTGTGTCCAGGTGTGCCCAGGTGTGTCCCAGGTGTGCCCACGTGTGCCCAGGTGTGTCCCAGGTGTGCCCCAGGTGTGTCCAGGTGGGCCCAGGTGTGCCCAGGTGTGTCCCAGGTGCCCCAGGTGTGCCCACGTGTGTCCCAACCACCCCCAGGTGTGCCCAGGTGTGTCCCAGGTGTGTAACAACCACCCCCAGGTGTGCCCAGGTGTGTCCCAGGTGTGCCCAGGTGTATCCAGGTGTACCCCAGGTGTGCCCAGGTGCCCCCAGGTGTGTCTCAGGTGTGTCCCAGGTGTGTCCCCAGGTGTGTCCCAGGTGTGCCCCAGGTGTGTCCAGGTGCCCCCAGGTGTGCTCCAGGTGTGTAACAACCACCCCCAGGTGCTCCCAGGTGTGTCCCAGGTGTGCCCCAGGTGTGTAACAACCACCCCCAGGTGTGCCCAGGTGCCCCCCAGGTGTGTCCCAGGTGTGTAACAACCACCCCCAGGTGTGCCCAGGTGTGCCCAGGTGTGTCCCAGGTGTGCCCAGGTGTATCCAGGTGTACCCCAGGTGTGCCCAGGTGCCCCCAGGTGTGTCCCAGGTGTGGCCCCAGGTGTGCCCAGGAGTGCCCAGGTGTGCCCCAAACATCCCCAGGTGTGCCCAGGTGTGTCCCACGTGTACCCCAGGTGTGCCCAGGTGTGCCCCAGGTGTGCCCAGGTGTGTAACAACCACCCCCAGGTGTGCCCAGGTGTGTCCCAGGTGTGCCCCAGGTGTGTCCCAGGTGTGCCCAGGTGAGCCCAGGTGTGGCCCAGGTGTGCCCCAGGTGCCCTCAGGTGTGCCCAGGTGCCTCCAGGTGTGTCCCAGGTGCCCCCAGGTGTATCCCAGGTGCCCCCAGGTGTGCCCAGGTGAGTCTCAGGTGTGTC